TTTTCGAACAAAAACCTGAAACCCTTCAAACTCAAAAAAAAAAGTATTTCTCAAATTCCATAAAAAACCGAAAAAACTTCATGGTTAATTTTGTGAGTTTAAAAGAGTTTTTGATAAAATCTAATCTAATAAAGTGGTAGAAGACGTGAGACATATTCACAAGTGTTTAAAATAAAAATAAATGAAAAACTTCTAAATTTGATAGAGAGGATGATAATATAAATAAAAAATTATTTTTAATTTTTTTATATCAACATTAAATTATCACATCATTCAATTATTAATGATTTATCGATTTTGTGCTTTAAATTGAATTAGTTTGATATCGAAGCCATAGAGTTTTTGGTCACGGATTGTATAATAATCTAAAAGTAGAAACAGGTTTTAAGAACTATTATACCACACACAGATTAGGTTTTCTACCCAACAACAAGTGGTAAGGAACATTGGGATGGCAATTTCACGTTGCAAAAGCAACGATTTTTGGACAATTCTATTACATAATTAGAAAATCACGATAATTAATTATGATAATTCTTCTATATATCATTTATTTCAATTGGATTTTTGTTTTATCGAAAAAAATTTAAGATATTCTTTATAAATATATTTGTGTTGGGTCGAGTTATCTTAAAAGGTAGAATGTATGAAGTCACTCTAAACACTGGTCAAAATGAATTTTAGGTGAAGTGTGTAAATTTTTCGAATATGATCTAGTTGATCAAAAACCCAACCGATGTCCATCCCTAAACTTGAACGGATTAATCATAAATTTTTGACATGGGAAGATATGGTAAATGGTGCTGGCTTAACTTGGAAGGGGAAGTCCTTACTCACCACCATCTTAAAAATCTCGTGGAATGCGTTCATCTATCACTTGTGGCAGGAACGGAACCAGAGAACATTTCGGGGTCGTTTCGGGCTGTTGACGCAATTCTCAAAGACATCATTGATATTGTTGGTATCCGACTTAGGGACAAAGCTATTAACAGACTAGATATTACTAACTTTAACCTTTGTAATGTTTGGGGTATAGTCTAACCAATCATTGGTGTGTATTTAGGCTTTTGTTATTTTGTTGATTGGTTATTGGTTGTAGCTTGACTGTGCTTTTGGGTAATAAAATTTTGAATTATTTAAATTTGATTCGATTTGAATTTTTATAAACCTGACTTAAAATAATTCAAATAAAATTTGAATGATAGAAATATATTTATGAATTCTATTGAAACTCGATTCGATTAAACATTCACTTTATTTCTGGTTATACTCGAGGAAATAAATAGATCGATCACATGGTTTGCCCGCATCAAGTGGAGTCAACGTGAAACGCCAAGGAATAAAAATCCAACATTTTTTAGCCAGCTTTACATACATAATCCAAATTTGTAAAAAATAAAATAAAAAGGCATTGGATTCCCAGACAGATATAGTAACAGTTGCCATGTTTTTCAAACTAAGTCATCATTAATTAACTCATGCCCTCCATAAATACCCCACCCCATGCACACGCAATCGGAGCCAAACAAACATGAAGATCAAAACCCAACTCATTCTCCCCTATCTGCTCCTTGCACTTCTTACATCTTCCCAATTCTCGATAGCCATGGAAACAGGCAAGTTCTTCTCTGCTTTCTTTGTTTTGTCTCGAAACTCATTGAATGACCTCACTAGTAAAATGAAGTGTTATTCCCTCTAGAGGTCTTGAGTTCGAACATATGTGTTTACAAGATGTGCACATTCTCAATGACTAAGAAATGATTTTAAACATATACTATCTTACAATCATTCGTACTATTAAAAAAATGTTATCGAACAATCTTATACAAAACACTGAAATAATCTGTGTTTGCAGTTAACGATGCTATGAAGATGTTCAAACCTGCAAAGCCGAACCCAGATTTTGTCAACAGGTTTTTGTTGGCCACTTGGGTATGTTTTCTGATATATGCATTCCTATAAAAAAAATTAAATTATTACATATCTAGATATTTTCTTTGTATTTTCTATCGATAATGTGTTTTATTTTCTAAAAGTTTATAAATTCATCCCTTCAGATAAAATCTTGTATCCGTCGTCCCTGATTATTACATGTGAGTTAGATTGTTACATGATCGGAATATTTATTTGTCTGAATATTGTTGTGTGTGACAATGAAGGGAAGCGGAACGAAGGTGGATGAAAACATGAAAAAGGTTCCATCTGCTCCAAATCCAGGAGGAAATAGGCATCCACCATCCAAGCCATGAATATGAATATGTTGGATTCAATCCTTTCAATGTTTCTACTTTTATATATATATATATATATATATTGTTCAACTACTTTGGGAAATCTGAGCGTGAATTTATTCATTTTCATTGATGCACTTAATATTGGGTTATATATATATTCTGACTGTCGATTTGAATATTACGTAGAGTAAATTTATAACACGTAAATAAATGAATGGTTGTTATTCGAGCACTAGAGATTGTAGGGTTTTTGATCGTTCATTATCTAAGAGTTGAGAGTATATAGAACAAATATTACCACTAAACCACCTTAGATTAATAAAAATAATAAAAAGTATACAAATAGTCCCCGACTATAGAACGATTCTTTTGTTGAGTCCATGACTATTGAAAGTTACAAAATGGTCACCAACTATAGGATGTTATCTTGTTGAGTCTCTCGACTATTAAAAGTTATAAAATGATCACCCGACTATTCATATGTTTCAAACTCGTTCCTTCTCGTCAAAAAATTAACGGCTATTTGAACTTGACGTTGACTTTCTGATTGGGATATGATAAAAATATATTTTAATAATAACTATTGGCACTGCCGTTGATTTCAAGCACTAGCTTGACAACATAATATTTCAAGTACTGACTCAAGGTCATAATGTAAACAGAGACTCGATCAACAAAATACAATTCAAATAGTTATGAGAACATATATCTTATCATATCTCAATGAGCATGTTAAAATTCAGTTAAGACGACCACCAAATTTTTAACGAAAAATGATGAGTTTGGAATATAAGAATAGTAGGGTGTCCATTTTGTAATTTTTAATAGTTAGAGGATTCAATAAAATAATACCCTATAATCAAGGGACTATTTTTGTACTTTACCGTAAATTATAAGTACATATTTACTTATCGTAAGGATAATTCATTAAAAAAATATTAAAATCATATGAATTAAATCGTAAAAATTTACATATAAAAGCACATTATAATGTAGCTTTCACTAAACTTTTTAATATTCTTCATAGGAGAATGTTAATATTTAGGGACAGACACATGATTTTATATTAGGAGGACGAATTTGAACTTATAAATATAAGGGGCGAACTTAAACTTATAAAATTATAAGGGAGAAAACAAATTTTTAATAAAAAATACAAAGATAAAATCTAAAATATATAATTATTTTAAATTTTTAGGGGGACAGCAACCTCCACCCGTCCCTACCTAGATTCATCCCTGGTAATATTTTCACTCATCCACGAAAGCAATGCCCAAACTTACATAGACTTCCTTCCCATAAAAAGAAGTTTGCAACATTTTCCATGCTCACTCCCTATAATGGAAAATGACTACGATGACGGTTTCACAGACAACAGATCATCATCCATCGTTTTAGTCGACACGAGATCAGCCGCCTTGGTCGTAATGATCTACCGATATAATAATAACGTCCGAGGCCAAACATCAAAACAAACACAACAAGATCAACAACATGTGACGATGAAAGGGCACAAGTATGGTCGATGATGATGGAATGTGTATACTGTATTTGTCTCAATTCGAAGAGGACAAAGAGTTGAATATGTTATCGAAACAATACCATAGGGTTTGGTCGAGTTGAAATATTGTAAAAGACCTCTAAATATCCTAAATATGAAAGGGTAAAGTACATAAATGATCATCTAACTATATAGTACATCTTTAGTTTTATTGAGTCAATCGACTATTAGTAGTTACAAAATGATCTCCCGATTATAGGACATTACTTTGTTGAGTCCCTCGACTATTAAAAGTTACAAAATAGTCATTCAACTATTCATATGTTCCAAACTCGTCAGTTTTTGCTAAAAAAATTGATGATCATCTAAGTTGGACGTTACCTTGCTGACTAAGATATGATAAAACCTGATTCTATAACTGTTTGAATTGAATAATCATTTGATATTCTGATATTAGCTTTTACCATATCTCAATCAACACGTTAACTTCCAACTCAAACGATAACTTCCAACTCAAACGATGAGTTTGATGAGTTTGAAATATATAAATAGTCGGGTGACTATTTTATAACTTTTAATAATCGAGGGACTCAACAAGGCAATGCCCTACGGTAGAATAACTATTTTATAACTTTTAATAATCGAATGACTCACCAAAATAATATCATATAGTCCGATGACCATTTGTGCACTTTACTCAATATGAAAACTCATTGATGAAACATTTTACGTTACCCTGGGTTTGGCCAATTATACGTTACTGTCCTTTTCATTGTGATCCCATCCCATGTGAGGATCCCTCGAGGCCAACGACCTCTCAACCCCTTCTTTAATCTTTTACCTACTGGCTCTCCAAAACAAAGGAATGTAAAACGTTATTAGTTAGATTAATTCAAATTTAAATTAAATGTATATATACATAAAATAGTTATCCCTTATTCCCATATGTAATGGGGTAAGGGGGTTGTCCCTTGTTCCCATATGTAATGGGATAAGGGGGAGGTAAGATAGTATGCTGCCCCCAACACTAGGTTGAGAGTAGCTTCCGTAGGAGACCTCCGAATTATGAAAATACCCTCCATAGGACTCGATCCCACGACCTCAAGATTAAGAACCTTGTGCTCTAAATGTATATATACATAATATTAATGATATTGAAATAATTATTTGATATATTGTCGGTAATCTCATTAACCCTTGCTTTTTCTTAGTTTTTAGTGGTTTTTTCTTGGGGTTTTCACTTGTTTCTTGAACTGATGGAAGGGTAGATTTGAGTGGAAGATTTTGAAGTATTTTTTCAGTAGTTTTTGTGATGTAAGAAGATGAAATCATTGAGCAGTGTAGGGCTTGGTTTGAGCTTAGTTTTTGTTCTTCTGTTCTTAGCATTGATTGCGGAGTTGTATTACATGTTTTGCTGGAAGAAATCCGCTTTGAATCCACAGGAAATCCAACAGCAACCATCTCATCAGGTTCATCATCTGCAATCAAACAAAGATGTGTTCTTCGAGCCCTATGACGATGATGATGATGATGATGGCGATGGGTCACCAAGGTTATTGTTCACCATCGTTGAAGAAACAAAGGAGGATTTGGAGTCTGAGGAAGCTAAATCAAAGAGAGGGAGGAGCTTGAGTGATGTGGTGTTCAGTGTTGAAACCCCATATTTGACCCCATTGGCTTCGCCTCCACTTACACAACTAGAGGCTGCTTCTTGTTACAAACACCATAGATCATTCAACCCTTTGTTTGAATCTTCAAATGGTAGGGATTTCAACATGTCTTCATCACCTCCTCCAAAGTTCAAGTTATTGCAAGAGGCTGAGGAGAAGCTCTAAAATGGTCTTACATTAATTGAAGGAGTTGATGACAATGGTGAAGAAGATGGATCATTTGTCACAATTATCGCAGATAAGAACAAAAAAACAGGGTTTAACAGCTACTTTGCCTATTTTCCATTTAAATTAACAATATTTTGAGCTTTTTTTCCCATTTAAAATAACAATATTTTAGTGGGAGGCGGTTAGTATTTTGAATTTCAATCTCCATGTTTAATTAGCTGTTTGGTACAAGTGACGTGTAATCATTTCAATGAGTTAATTGATTTACTGATTTTTCTTTATTCATCTTTGGCACTGTAAATTTCTTACGTAACTCTTCGCTTTTAAATTGCACACTTTTTCAGTAAAAAAAAAAATAGAAGATTATTGATAAGACTCGAATATGACATTTTCAAAATTTGGGGTAATTTAAGGATTGATTTAATTCTTGGAGACATTGTTGTTGATGTTGGCATGGTGGTATTCTTCAACCAGATGATTATTCTTATTTTTTTTTTGGTAATAATGATTATTGTTATTTTGGGTCATAGTGAATGCACCACCTTTTTTTTTTAATTTAAATCCTTTTCCAATTAAAACATCTTTTTTTTAAGGTTAATTATTTCAAAAGCGCCATTTTTTAAGCACCGATTCATTTATATCATTAACATTTTAATTTTTTCAATTTTAACACTAACATTTACATTTAAAAAACTCAAGAAGCTTTTTAAATTTCACAACCCGTTCTTTTTATATTCTTTTTTATAGGATTCATACTTTTTCCTACTCACCATTTCATTAAAACAAGACCCAACCTATGTGCACTCAGGGTGTGCATTTTTGTATACGGATATTATCTGATCTAAAATTTTAGATATCTAAAAATTGTGGATCACTAGAATCGTGGTCTGTATCTTATCTGAAAAAATTGGATATCCAAAATTTTGAGTATCCGAAATTCGGATCGGATAACCGGATATCCGATCAGAATATAAAATTTAATTTGATAAAAAATAATTTTTAATCTAATATTTTATAACTTTATACAATATATTTTCTACTTCTGATATATATATATATATATATATACATTAAAACAATTTTAAACTAAATAATTCATCTCTCTTTTATAGGATTAAAAATATAAAATTTAAGTTTAAATAAATTAAAAGTTGAAAAAAAAAGCTGGCTGGAGCAGAGGCGTGCGGGCTGGGGGCGGGCTGGAGCGCTACTTGGAGGGGTTGTGCTGGCCTGCTAGGGATGGGGCTGGAATTATTGGGCCCAAATAAAATCATCTTAAGGTACAATTTTTTTTCAGATTTTCGGATAATCGGAAACTGAAATTTCACCGATCCGTATCCAATCCGATTATCCGATTTTTTCCTCATATATCCGATCTGAATTATCCAAAAATTAAAGAACGGATCAGATATCCGAATTGTTGGATCAGATCAACGGATCAATGGATCGAGTCGGTTGGATCATATTTTTTTACACACCCCTAATGTGAACCATCGTAGAACCCGACCACGTTTTGTTTCCGCATTTCTGAGCACTCACTCACCATCCATTGACACCAATATGGCTCAAACTCGTAACCAAGGACATGATGATTATCGCCACTGATCATTGATAGACATGAGGAGTATTTCTATCCCTCCTCCTTTATTTTATTTCGTATTAGGACAACATTCTTTAAGTGAGGGGAGGAATGATATTTTTTCCTTGCTTATTCATGTTGGTTTAATGGAATATTTCGATGCTTATGATTGTTGCTTACCTTGGTTGGTTTGTTAGTTTTGTCGTCATCCCTTGTTTACAAGCTTGAGTTAATCTTGTTATGCATGAATAATTGATTTAATTTGATGAAATAATTTCATGAAAGTTTTTAACCTTGTGGTATAATTGTTGGTACTCAACCGTTAAAAATTTAGGTACTAAAATGAATCAAAAAGTTAACAACAAAGTATTAAAATGAAATAAAAAGTTAACGACGAGTACTAAAATGAAACAAAAATTAAACGTTATGTATGATTTTAAAAAAATTAAAAACTTAGGTATTAAAACGGAACAAAAATGATAGTTTAGGTACTAAACATATATTTTACCCTAATTTTTATAGACTTTAACTAAATTTTCGCGCATTTTGTTAATAAAAGATAATATTTTTTTAAAAAGATTCGGATTCAAACAACTTGGTGATGTGTGTGAAAGATTCTAAATGTGTTTTACTTTGTAAATATTTATTTTTAAAATATAAAAATTAAAATTATTAAACTATAAGGATTAAATCTTAAATTTTAAAATAATAGAGGAATCTTTGACACATTTAACAAAATAAATCCCTAAAACGCTGCTGAACTCCATAAAACCTCTGTTGGGCGTCGCTCTAATAACCCAGGAAAAGATCACATCTTTCGAAAGCAGAGAAACTCAATTTTGAAAGAGTAATTTGGTCGAACACCTGATGTTCAAATGAAAGGCAGCAACAAAGCTACTGTTTTAACTATTGCCGATAAATGCAAGGTTCAACACTCTCCACCATTTCTTCCAATCTACAAGTTCGCGGATTTACTCTTACTCTTGCATTTAAATACTTTCACTTTTCTTCCCCCTTGTGCAGAATATATTGGCATCAAACTGGCAAGGTCATCTTAATACCATCAAAACTGATGCCCATGGAAGGTACCCTTTTTATATTTCGTTTCAATTTTACTTTTTTCCCCTTTCTTTTTAATTCAATTAGGTTGTGTTTTTGTTTTGTGTTTCGGGTTTTATCAATCAAATCCTTCAGCTTTGTTGAATGTAGGGCTGTAAATGAGCTGAGAGTATTTGTTTAACTTGACTTGAAACTTGAAAAGTTTAAAACTGAGTTCAAGTCGACTTAAAAGCCGACAAACTTAGAATTGTCAAGTTCAGACTCCAGCTCGAAATCAAAAATTAAAGATTGATTCGGTTCAAAATCTCGCAGGTTTAAAATATTCAAGTTCGACTTGAAATCAAATGTTGAAGCTAAAAAAAATTGAACTCGAAACATTTTCAAACTTAGCTCGATTGAAGCTCAAACTCGAGCTCGGTTCAAGTTCGAACATGAATCTTAAGTACACAAAAGCCTTGTATTTTAAGTTTTAATATAAATATAAATATTATTAATGGTGAGTTTTTTCGATTCAAGTATCAAGTATCTAGCTTTGGCTCATCAAGAACTTTGGTTGAGTCCATTCGATTCGAGTTTTTATCGAGTCGAACTCAAGTAGCTTGCGATGTGTCTGTCTCATTTACAGCCCTAGTTGAATGGTTGAAAACCCCCAAATGTTAGAGTGAAAGAAGAGTTTTAGTGAAAATAGTTGAGGTTAGCTGCATTTTGATATATAGTGTTTGATTGCTTTTAATGTTTTGTATCACAGCAAAGGGAACATATACACGTCGAAGGTTAAGTACATTGTCAAGAAGGGTAAACCTTTTATCTGGGTACCAGAACACGACTTGCATAATGTGGTATCTTTCTCTTGCTGCTATGGCTCTACTTTGTTTTGTTTTTTGTAATGTTTCCTTAATATTCAAGTACCTTGTGGCCACGTAATCTATGTCATTTGGACTCCGCCGGAAGTGTCAAATAAGGGTATGCGTCCGATAAATGCATCTTCGAATAAGGGAGGGTCCCTGGAAGGTCATATACTCTTACGCATGTACGAAATTGTATCAGATATGGATACTTAAAAGGAAATGAAGAGTTGTATTCTTTTATATGTCGGGGGTAAAACAGTTTGTACTTATTTCAGGGCTATGACATTGTTGAACTGTTTATTCTTCCTTTGGTTGATGCACTATTTGGAAAACTATTGTATTTATTTGTGTCACATGTTGAACAGTTCAAGCATACATGTTCTCTTTTTGGTTAAATGTTATCCTTTGTACTTGTTTATATGAAATTTAAATTCCTTTCTCGAAATGTTTGTCGGTCTTGAAAGTTGAAACACTTGTGAATGTTTTTTTTTGTTGTTGATAAAAACACTTGTGAATGTAGAACATACGCTTTTCATTTGCTTTAGTTCTTAGAACTTCGAGGAACTGTCTGTTCACCATGGCAACTGAATTCTCATTTATTTCATTATTTCCTTCTTGTACACAGAATACTATTATTGATGAACGTGGTTCGTTTTCCGTAGCCAGCCCGTTCCCCGGGCCTCTTGGAAAATTACTCAAATCATTGAACAAGGTTGGTGTCTGCATCAACTTTTGCTCAACTTTTCTTTTTCTGTAAGCAGTAATTTAGTCTCTAGAGGTCACTTCCTTTCTTTTGGTAGCATATAATTTGACAATTGTGTTGAGCGTGTATTTTCTAATTGAAGCAAAGTGATGGTGTAATTTGTTATATTTCTTTGCTGCAGTTTCCAGTTCGGGTTGCTCTAACTGGGGATGTTGTGCCTCTTACAGATAAAAAGGTAATTCTATTTAGAAAACTGACTTGATCATAGGAATTTCATACACTTATGAGTATAAATCCAGGATTATGCTGCTGCAACTAAACACACCATGGTAATTCAGTTGTGTCTGCATGTATACTTTTAGAGGGTAAAATTGGATTAGCCATTGTTTGCGGAAACCTTCATATAAGTATTCATTGTATGTCAAGACTCGAGACTTGAGAGAAACAGAGTATGCTGGTCAAATACTTCTTCCGGTTTCAGTAACTAGTATGCTCTTTATGCTTTCCAATTTTCCTAATGTTCCTGGGCATATAGTATCAAAGGAACCAAGATAAGACTTTCTGTCATAAGCTTAAAACAAATGTTTGCAAAAAAACGGTGATTATACATCATTTATTATAGATACTTTTAAACGATCGGAGTATAAGTACTTTTGGGGATTCTAGTTTGTTGAACAAATACGATAAAAAATTAGTATACCACCGTCACTTGATATTTTAACAATATGGGGACTGATCTCCTGAGTATTAGATTTGTTAAGCTACTTTTTTATGCTCGTTCAGGAAAAATTAAACGTTTATTCAGAAGTAATAATCTTGGTAATCTAGATTGAATATATATTTTGAATGGATGCCAACTTTATTAATTTTTTCATGTTATAGGCTCAATCTGTTGCAGAATTCGTTAAAGAAGTCATGCTGGCTGAGGAGAAAGCAGTTAAAGAATTTAGTTATACGGTTTCTGGTGTACTAAGTTTTTCTGATCACTTTTCCACATCTCGAAGCAAGAACCTCAAGGAGCTGATTGACGGGAGTGAAAAATATGTGATTTATAAGTTCAATCTGAGGTATAAACTTCCACCGAGGTTGTTAATTTATCGTATTGTAAATGTAGAAAATTGTCATCACATGAACTCTAGTGGCAATGGTGCTTGTTCTTTGTTGAATCGGGAAAGGGTGATATTAAACCATATCATGAAGAAAAAAGGATTCATAAATGAAGTTGTCTGTAGCTTGGCATTTTCTTGAGAATGATGTTTTCTATTCGAGACATTATATTGCATATTTTTTGCTGATTAAGTAATGGTTGGTTGAAATGCTTTCTGAATGAGAATCCAATAGGTATCCCTCTGTTATGCACTAAACCTTCCATGTTACTGTAGTTTCCTGTTCGATTTGATTTCGGTCGAGTAATTGCATTTAAATACTGTAATTTCTTTGCTTGATAGATTTAGAATATAAATGATCAGAAAGTAGTTTAGTTTGAGAGAAAGGGAAAACAAAAAGAGACACATGAAACGCAAACTTCATCTGAAATGAAATATCTGCTGTACAGTTCTTGCATGTTTGTTGATGGCAACGGAGGAACTCGTGAAGTAGACTTCGAAGATGTGGAAAAATGTAAAGCAAGTTTGCTAGGTAAGACGTCACTGCTGGAAAAATAGTTGAATTCTGTATCTTATGGATAGTTCGGGCATAGAACTACGTCCACAAAGTTTTGACATTTATTTTCGATTTGTTTCTTTTATAGCACCTTATTCTGCTAAGCTCATTGATGGCATTAATCAAAGCGAGGCTCGACGCCGAGGACTGACCCTTTTTTGTTTCATATACTTGAACGTAAATGCAAGAGTGAGATTTACTATCTTTTTCAATTTCGATTTAGTACTACTTTCTTTGTGTTACCGCAAGCATTCGGTTTTATTCGATGTTGTTATCCAGTGTATCATGTCCTCATTAAGCATGGATTGACCAAATGTATGAGATTATATAGTTAAGGCTGTGAATTCCACCATTATAAACTGCATATCCTTGCATGTAGCTTCGGGTTGCTGTGGTCTGATAACTGACTAATCGTTCTTTGTAGGATGCATACATGCTCTCACTTGATCGTAAGGGCTTCGACGTCTTGGGGAAGGTTTTTAGTAAAGCTCCCGGGGATGAAGAAAGCGAATACGAATGGAAGCAATTCCGGATCCCTTTCAAAGAAGAGGCTTGGGACGTCGAGTCCTTTTGTCTCCAACTTGTGGAGATGGAAGAAGAGGCCATCAAAATGGTCTCTAGCTACAGTGGTCTGGGATAGAAAGTAAAGCAGATACTACAATGCTCTTCCAACCCTGTTTCCTCACCATCCAAAATGGTGACATTCGAGTTTGAGTGTCGGATACGGATATTTATATTTAATGCCAAAACTTATATAAATACAACATGTAGAACATAATTAGGATTTAAGAAAAATTTGAGCAAATTGGTTGAAGGTTGAAATGCCTGAATTGTAATGTCAGTTTCTTAGCTCAATTTCTCAACAAATTCGTAGATGGGCAGTGGACATAACTTGATATTCTTAGATCCAGTGGACCATATTGCATGATGTTGACAACCTTCACAATCTCATGTTTGGGAATATATTATGTACTCATTGTCTAGACTCTATCCTTTCTGAAGTATATATGTAATATTTATGCAAAATTTGAAATGACCATCCAGCTCAGTTGGTAGAGTATAAGGTTTTTAATCTTGAGGTCGTGGGATCAAGTTTCATAGAAGGCATTTCATAATTTGGAGGTTTCCTATAGAAACTGCTTTCAACCTAGTGTTGGGGTAGCATATTATCTTATATCCCTCTTATCTCATTACATATGGGAACAAGGGATAACCATTTTTTATGCAAAATTCGAGAAAATATATATATAGGAAATTTGTATGGTATATAGATTGCGTAAAATTTATTTTACATAAGGCTTATAGAAAATAAGTATTTAAATTATACCATTTTTTCTAAATACATGCCCAAACATTTTTTCAATTCATCGAGGTGCCTAACGTTATAAACGTTACCACTTTAGGTATCTGAGTCGTAACTGCAGTTAAATTATGTTGTTAAAGGACACGTGTTGCCTTTACAAAATTTTAAAACCTTATTTAAATTAAAAAAATAAAAATATTTGTATATTCTTAAAAAACTTATTTTTCTAAAATTACCAAAAAAACCTTAAATCTCTAAAAATCTCTAAATCAATACTAAATCCATGACTCTAACCACAAATCCCTAAATCCCAACCATGATTGATGCCGCTGACATTGCCTCCCTTTTCGGCCAATATTGTCCTTTTCATTGCTCGTGTTGTCAGATAGTGCAAATGTTGCGATTATTTTCACAAATATCGCACCATCGATCGATTTAAATCTTACCATGTCGTTTGGTGGAGGTGTGGTCGGGGGTCGGTTCAATCAATAGTAACAATGATGGTAAAGAGCGACGACAACATAGGTATAGAGATTAGATTTAGGGTTTTCAAAGTTTATATGGTTTTTTAAGATTTTCAAAAATTTTGGGTTTTTAAAGTATAATTTAAAGTTTATTATTTTTAATAAAATTTCTAAAATTACCTAAAAGTGGCACGTGTCTTTTGACGGACATTGCAGTCTGAGCACCTAAAATTATAATGTTTCTAACGTTAGGCACCTGGATGAATAAAAAAAAGTTTAGGCACCTATTTGGGAAAAGCAGTATAGTTTGGACACTTATTTTCTAATTAAGCCCTTACATAATGGGCTCATTTAGTGTTATTTGTTTTTGGTAAACTACATCATTCCTCACTGAATTTTACTCTATCTCCTATTTCATTTAATGTACTTTTAATTTTTTCAGTTTACTCTCTGAACTTTCTAATTGCTTATGTTTTGGTCATTCTAAATTATTTTATTATTATTTTGATATAACATGACATTTTTTGTTATTATTTAATATAAAAATAATTTAAAATATAAAATTAAAATAGATGGTGGTTGCCCACTATTCGTTGTAGTTGGACGCCATTGTTGATAACTGTAGATGGTGGTTGTTTGGTCTCAGATTTCATCAGCCACTTCGTCTCAACCCCCTGAGTCTAAATCTGAACTCCATTTTGTCGTAACATGCTCTGAAGTGAGAAAACTGAAATGTCAAATGTAGTAGATGGTGTCCTTTCGGTCCTAGAATTCATGGATCGCTTCGTCTCGACCTCCTGAGTTCGAATTCAACCTCCATTTTATCGAAACATGCTTCGAAGTCCACGAATAAGAGATCAAAAGTGAGGAAATAAAAAAATATTTATGTCTAGATTTACAGGTTTTGGGACATTTTCCGGTGAGTCAACTAGATTCAGACTCAACATGTCAAAACGAGTCTCTTGGTTTGGTATCAAATAGTTGCCAGGTTCGAAGGCCAACGGTGGTCGACGGTGACAAGGAAGGGACAATGATTATTTTAATTTTTTAAATTTAATAATAATAATTTATTATTTATTATTTATTTTAAATTATTTTTATAATTTAATAATAATAAATGTCACATCATAGTATAATTACAATTAAATAATTTGTTGTAACCAAAACAAAATCAATTCAAAAATTCAATGAGTAAATAAAAAAAAACTGAAAATAGAGCGAATGAAATATGGGAGAGTAAAATTCACCGTGAAATGGTGTACTTTATCCTTTGTTTTAATTAAAATTTAGGGTTTAAATTTTAAGCTTGAATACTTAAGTTGGTTTAAGGATTTAAAGCTTAAGGTTTAGGATTTAATATTTAGGCCTTAATATTTAGGGTTTAAATTTAAGGTAAACTAGGCCAATGGTCATTAATGTTAGAGTAAGTGTTAGCTTTTATCACTTATGTTTACAAGTCACAAATCAGTCATTAACGTTATCGTTTGTAACAAAATGATCACTCAACGTTAACAACCATTAATAGGAGTGATGAAAAACACAGTTGGACTGTTATCTGCTGAGTTAGATCGTTGATTGCCATAGATGGACTATTTTGACCGACTCTTCTTCTTCTTCAACCCAACCCTATCTTCTTACTAAACCCAACCAAATTGGTTATGAGCGATATATTCCTTTCTTTTCTTATTTTCTTCTTTTTTCTTTCTCTTCACTTTTCTTCTCCATAGCTTCCCAATCAAACAAATTTATAATTAACCCAAACATTATCCTAAAAATTAATAGCATGCATGATGTAAAAGGTTATAAGCGATAACATCTCTAGCATTGACAGGTATCGTATTACTGTAAAAAATAATTCTAGCTTCTCAAAGGGACTCTGGAGTTTTTAATGAAGTGAACTTTCTGATTCTGGATAAGGATGAGATTTGGATAGAGATGAGATTAAATAGGTGGTTTTAAAATTATTTTAAAATAAAAGATAAGGATAAAATAAATAAATAAATTTAAAGTAATTTAGATTAAAAAAAAACTTATAGTGAAATTAGCCTCAAGCTTCAGCTTTTGCCTCAATTCCAGTTGATCCTCGGAACAAATTTTTGCTTCGGTTATTTGTCGATTACAATCTACAGGGCCCAAACCCTGTAACTTGTTTTTTCTCTTTTATGAATCAATAACCTAAAATCAATTTTTGGATATCAGTCTTTTATGGAGACTAACTACGACTATCGCCTTCAGCACTAAACTATTTTATAGATCTAGAAAAACCCGACTCGGACTATGTTGCCTCAATGAGAATCGAGCCTGATCTCAATTTCCCTTAGTGGACCGTCTCTAAGTATGTTCACAAGAAGTCGAACTTGCTACCAACTGATTCTTCCTCCCAACTATAAATCAGAACAACTTCTGAACCAACGTCGACATTTTAATTAAAAAGCATTTTGATTTTAAAAAGATAGGTCGATTACCAATCTTATTCCTCCAGAAACTTGAGAAAATAACTCGAAGTTATTTTAGTGCTTTTCAATCCTCACAATAGGGATCGATTCATCGCTTCATTCCTTGGCTATGGAGAAATTAGCTAAGTATAACAATCATACTTAGCATCTTTGAAAATAAAAATAAAAATAAAACAAAGAAAAACTTTGAAAAAGAAAATATAACTTTTATAAAACCAGAGGAAAGAAGAAGAATGAAATCTAAATTTGTTTTTAGGCTTACCCCGAGAGGGTATTTATAGCCTTCAAAAATCCTAAAAACAAGGAAAACGTAATTCCTAAAAACAAGAGATAATTCCTAAAGACAATTCTTAAAAAAAATTAACTAAAATCCTAAAAACATGAGATTAACTCAAATTCAAATTTCAAAACCCATTCGTCTTTCTAGAAGCACTGACTGGACCTTCTGAAATGTGCTGACTCAACGCCACGTTAGATGTGTCATTCCCAGAGTCATGCAATCCAACCTTGATTATGAAAACAAAAAAAAAAACTGCAGAATTATGTCATTTTAGTATAATTTCTAGAATCTAGCGCCCTGTATAGAAAGTGAATTAAAATGAATGAATCAACCACAAAAACTAACAACTAAAGAGTAATTTAAAGGCAAAACAATAACTAAATAAATGACCTATCAAGCATCCATGGAACTCACCAATCTCAAATCAACTTCACCCACCAACTCATGATCTTCATCGTCTTCATCATCATCAACAATAATAACAAACTCAGACCCCCATTCACACTCAAACCTGTCACCTCTCATTTCACATATATTAAGCAAAACACTACATACTCAAACAACAACACCTAAATCATGCAACTTTAAATCACTCTTCTTTTGCAAATAACATCATCTCCCTTTCGTTCTCATCAACGCTTATTTACCAACTCTTTAGATCTCACTAATTTCTTGTTAAACACATGTTGCATCCATGTTAACCATCTTTGATTGTAAGGGACCAAAACCCAGTCCATCAATGGGTACCCTTCGCTCCCCACGATCTGAACTCTATTCAAAATGAACTCGAACATTGACTTGCTCATCCTAAACGCCTTCTTGAATTCAACTTCTGGGTAATCGAGTCCCTTACACTCACTCCACCATAACAATTGATCCGATCCGAATTTGGTTTTCGTCTTGATAAAGGAAGCCTCCATGGAACTTGTAGAAGGGGATGATGGTTTGTTGTATGAGGAAGTCAAATTGAATGAGTTGGATCTTAAAAAGAAAAGGAAAGTGTTAAAGTGTCTGGAGAAAACATTCGTATTTCTTGTGAACCAATCAATTATGGCAGTTAAGGGAATTGGAGGCTCTGTATGAGCAACGTGAGGCAGAGAAAGAGTGAAAGGAAAAGAAATGATAATGTTTGATTGGAGCTTGACAAAGAATGGGAAAGAAAGTTGGAAAAAAGAGAAAATGGGAGGGAAGAAAAAGAGAAAGCTAGGGGAACTGAGAAGTCAGAAAATCAATGACTGGGGAGCTATGGAGAAGAAAAGTGAAGAGAAAGAAAGAAAAAAAATAAGGGAATTTGTGCTTAATGCTTACTTTTGTTTCCA